TTAAGTGACAGTTGCCCTATATTTATACACAGGAAGCAGCAATTGGCATTTCGTTACAGATGCCCTCACCTCACGCTCTTTGAAATATTCTATTTCAGGCATTGCAGAGAAGGGCAGAGTACACATAGGCTTAATGGAACAGCCCTATCCCAAGATCTGAAGGGGATGGCAGTGGAAAAGAGGGAAGAAAAACAGTAGGAAATCATATACATGAGAAGAGACAGGCAGAGCAAATGACAGAAATAGCTGTTGTCAGAATAGGCAGAATTTAACCAGCGACTGTTTACATCAGTTACTGTACAAAAAAAACAGAGCTCCCAGAGGCTCTATTTCAACTGAAGCTGGGGATGTATCTGAAAACTGGGCTCTGTTTTCATGTTGTGCTGCTGAAGAGGTGCCCAAAGCTACTGCGTGGAAATTCCCAGTCACCTTGCAGCCGGAAAGGTGTTTCCTCTTAAAGGCATGAGGTGTGCTGAGAATCATTTATAGTGTGTGGAGACATCACTACTGTGTGCACTACCAGCAAACACTTGCAAACTTGATCTCAAATACCAGGTTTCTGTGCATCCTCTCCCACATGAGCAACACAGAATATGGAAAGTGCAAATCAACACTGCAGTTTGAACTTAGAATCATAGAATCACAGAGTGGTTAGGGTTGGAAAGGACATTAAGATGATCCAGTTCCATCCCCCTGCCACAGGCAGGGATGCCTCATGTTAGACCAGGTTGATCCAAGCCTCATCCAACCTGGCTTTGAAAACTGCCAGGGATGGGGCAGCCACAGCTTCTCTGGGCACCCTGTGCCAGCACCTCAGCACCCTCACAGGGAAGAGCTTCTGCCTTAGATCTAACCTGACCTTCTGCTGTTCCAGTTTGAACCCATCAACCCTTGTCCTATTGCTACAGTCCCTGATGAAGAGTCCCTCTCCAGCATCCTTGTAGCCTGCAGTTTATTTAGGAGATAGGACCTCATATGCTTGCCCTGTTATTTCACTCCTCTCCTGGGACCTAGTGTTTGGGAGAGCCTATTAGGCTGAAGGGCTTTTGGTCTGAGCCTCTGTGACCCTCTTGCCGCCTTGCATTTAGATTCAAGTTGTGTGCATCCTCCTGTACACTAGAATGAACTTGCCAAGATCTATAGCACTGCTCAGCGAGATCTGTGTCATGGCTTGGGAAGAGGACCTCTCTCCCTTCCCTGTAGGAAGTAGTTTCTAGCAGCTGCAGTGCTCAAGGCAAGGGCAAGCAGCCTGAATTTGCTTGAATCAGTCAGGACTATTGAACGATTGTGCCCTGTGGCTGTTAGGCAGCACTTAAAGGGAACTTCTGTTTCTTGAACTGGAAGCTGGAGTGTTTGTTTGCTATGCCCATGGTAACCAGCACCAGCTTCTTTCAGAAACCCTGTCCTTGCTTTCTGTTGTTTTGGTTTTAATTTTTAAATAAAAGATAAAGTTTTTCTACACCCACAGGCTCACCATGGCCGTTTCCAATACTGGTTTAAAAAGGAGCAGTGAGGATCTTGCTGACGTCAGCCTGCACCTCCTGTAGCAGTGCTAAAACCATGTCCCCTGCTAGTTCTCAAGTCAAAGTGATTCCTTGTGTTCCTGGTGCTGCAGAGTCTGCAGATGGAGACACAACACTGTCCTCTTTTCCCAGGTCATGATGTTATATCACTGCTGGCACTCAGTAGTGAAGTGTCCTAGAACAGTCTTGGCTTGTCTCTGCCAAGCACAAGCACCCCCAGAGGTCAGATCTCCAGCAGAGGAGCTGTAAGGATGCTGAGGGAGCAAGCACTAGACAGCGTATAGGATGGAATCCTGATGGCTGCTGTCACCTAAATTTTCCTCAAAGCAATGGACAGTGGTCCCACAGTTGCTGTTACATTTCAGCAAGCCTTCCTTACTATCTTGCTGTGAGGCAGCAGCATATTTCTTCATCTGTGTCTTTCAGTGAATCATAATGGGCAGTTGGATCTATTTATACCTTTAGCTGAGTTCAGCAGTTTGCTCCAGCTGAAGCAAAAGTCTGGGGGAGAAGGAAATCTCTTTGATTCACTGGGGTAGAAGGGAATCTTTTTTCTCTACATATTTCAATTTCCAAAGGTTTGAGATGGGAAGAACAGGACAGCCATCAGGGATTGTGTTTCTGAAGTTGGAAAGAGATGTTAACATTGGTACTGGGTTGACATATGGCTGCCCATGATGTGGAGCAGTGCCACCAAATCCAGTTGGGCAGATCTGGTGTTGGCTGGGGGGAGAGATGGGTTTGCCAAAAGGCCCCTGCATGGGGACTGCTGCTCAGTCCAGCTTCCTGCCACCTCTCCCCTGCTCTGCCCTTCCATAGCGGCTACAGAGCATCACTTGGATGCTCCACCACTGGTGGAGTGATGGGAGGTTTCTGCAGCCAATTCATTTCAGAAGTTGTGCTAAACAGAATTAATTGGCCTTGCAGTTGTTTCTCTTAAGGTCTTCTGGGTATTTTCTGATACTGGAAGGTTTTAGGTGGTTGTTGTGGATGGATTTTCTATGTTCTTTTTATCGACTTTTTGAAAGGGTATTGGGGACCTTCCTGCTATTGAGAACTACTGGGGTGTGAAATGATTTCTGAGGAGAAGTGACAGAAAGCCTTAGTATCTGAAAAGTTTTAAACATGACTGAAATTAAGACTACAGGATAATAATTTTGCACTAGCAAGTAAATGAGTGATCTAAAATCAGTAGTTCCTGCTCCTCTGCAATACACAACATGGAGTCAGTAATTCCTGCCCTCTACAACACAGAGCATTAAATCAGTAATTCCTGCCCTCTGCAATACAGAGCATGGCTCAGGAAACGCTGTGAAATGTTCTGCTAAAAACATCAAATGTCAAATGCAATTGTCTAATGCAAGTTTTAGGTACAAACACGTGCACACACCTTCACTAGACTTTATTTGCTCCTAAAAGCTGCATTTCAAGATGTGTACAGTCCCGTTCAACCTGTCAGTCACTTACAATACTGTTAGGACTGAGTGTGCCAATAGGGAGTCCTTTGAAGAGGAAGCACTTAGAATAATGCACAGGGATATTTGTAGCGTAGTTTTTTCAAGCTCTTCTTATAGGTATTGCAGAGGTTCCCTCCCACCGGTCTCCCTGAAGGACTGTCCTTGGGAGCAGAACTGCTGCCAGCAATCAATGCCACACAAACAACACAAGCTTCACACCATATCACAAATATTAAGGTATTAAACCCAAATACTTCCCTCTGTGAGTTATTCCAGCCTTTGGATAGACCCCGGTTCTCTCTGATTTATAGTGCCCTTCACTGCCCATCTGTATAACCCCTTAAACACCCAGAGAATGCTGGATGGCAGAAAGCAAAGTGTCCCCTCTCTGCTTCAGCACAGAGACAGAGAGACATCAGCTCAAAGCTGGTCACTACCAGCTCTGAAGTATGCTTTGTTGGGATATTCAGCCTCCTCTCTCTACGTCAAGCTATAAAATTGCTGGATCAAAGTAGAGCTGCACCTGAGTCCAAACTTCCCACAGCTTGAGGGGAAACTTGGATCCATATCCCAATTCTGGGGCTTGGCTCTGCCTCTAAATCAAGCTCTTATAATCTCTTAGAAAGAGTCAGACCCATGAATTAACCACTAAGTCACAGAAGGGCAGCCAGAGCTGGCTGTTTCTGCACACGTTTGCTCTGCCTGCCTTGCATTGCCAGTAAAGGTATCTAGGTAGATCCTTTGGTTAATCCTGGAAATCTTTGCCTTTACTTTGGGAAGAAGCTGTGCATTATTCATCTGCTATTTTAACTTCAAAATGATTTTTTCTTCTCCTTCCTTTCCTCCGATCAGGTCAGTGAATTGAGACACCAGGAGATGGTAGAAGCCATCTCCAGCAGCCTTTGCAAGGAGCCTTGCTGCACCTTACTGCATCACTCAGAAGCAAGGGAGAGGCAGGGGGCACTGAGGGAGGAGAGGCTTGCATGTTCTCTGGAGTCACCCTCAGTGCTCTCTGCACTACCAGGCGCTTGGGTAACACAAGTTTCCCTGTTAGCCTGGATGTGCCACCACCAAATGGATAGGAAGTGCTACAGGGATTGCCTTGCACTTCCATGCCATGGTGGTGCAGGGGTTTGAGGTCAAGCTTTCCCATAAGCTCTGAGCAGGAAACCACCCTCACACTGAGAGTGGTGAATTAATGTGAAAAGGAGACTGCAATTAAGAAATGAGATATGGGATGGATGAGGGTAGTGGGCCCCAGGGATCAATAGAGCTGTTCTGTGTTTGATTGAGGTCTTCTCTTTCAGACTTGTCTTCTGTGACCCCAAATCTTCATTCTGTGCCACCTTATTACTGTATTATTACTTGTTGCAATAATGACAGAATGTCTCATTATTGCTGCTACCATCAATAATAGCAGCAGTTTATCAGCAGTGTTTATTAAGTTAAATTCCATGCCAACATATATCTTCCCCTCACAACGCAATTTATATGTGATCTCAGATAGCAGTGGTAGAAGACAGAGAAAAATCTGTGTCATTTTAGTATTTCAGTTGTTCATTGATTTATTTCAAATTAAGTCCCTTCAAAGAGGTTTAAAGTTTGTGTTCCTAAACTAAGTCTTTTTCCTGCTGCTACAAACTGATTTTTGGTGTCTTTACACTTTGCATTTGTTTTGTCACGGTTTCTTCGTCTCCACCAGCTTCCCAGAATTGCCAAGCCACCATCCTAAACAATTCACAACCTTTTCCGTTCCCTTTTCCCCTCATTGCTTAGTTTGGTTTTGGAAGCATTTTTAGGAATCCTGAAATGAAAAATTTCCTGGTGAAGACCTACTGGGAATTCCCAAGCAGGGACTTTGTGAATCCTGCTTCGAAAGGACTATGGTGTTTTCCTCTTTCTTCCTGTAGGCTGCTCACTATAGTGAGCAGCTTATGGCCCCATTCATAGGCAAAACAAAGGAATCTGATATCGTTTCCAAAATGCTTTTGTTTGCACTAATAAGGACAGAATTCCTTACTTGATTTCCGTTTGTCCTCCTGCTTTTCGGGCAATTTGAATCAGCTCTTTCCCGTATCTCTCTTCTGCTTGTGCTCTGTTAAGAGAAAAACTTCACTCAGTTTCTCTTAGTGGTACCAGGATCACATTCACGTAAACCTTGTAATTGCATCTGAGGTACAGAACGTGAGAAATACAGTTTCTTTACTTTCTCTATCTCCTCAATTCTCGTGCTATTATTTACCTCTCAAATATTTGGAGTGAGCTATTTCTAGAAGAAATAAGGGAAAAGGACGCCCATCTCCATGGCTTTGCTTGCTGTGGAGTGCTGTGGAGAACTCTGTCCCCAGAATGTTGGATTTCATTAGAAGAAGGGGTACAGAAGTGTAGTGAAGATGCTCTTTTACAACAGAAGCCAAAAAGAAAAGAGCTGACTTGACCCATCAAAAAGACTGGGAGGGGAGAGTAGCTTCTGAAGGATCCATTTGAGAGGTTGTGAATAAACAGGAGCAGGGAGTAGCAGTAGAAACATGAAGTGCAGCTTGAAAGAGCTGCAGTGGAGGCAGAGGGGGAAGGTGAGGCGGTGATGGTTTTGTAGAAGGCACAATATGATGCGATGTCTCACCTAATGGGGAACCAGAACTGGTGACTCAGGGAGGTGGTTCTGTTTCTATGGGTAATAAAGAAATACAAGTATTGCTTTGCTGTTTCCCACTCCCCCAGCTCTGGAAGAAATTTCTGTTCTCTGTTATTGCTTTTCTCCTGGGTGCAAAACCGGGGGGAAGTAAGTTTTCAGTCTTTGAGTACTGCTAAAATCTATTGAATGGATAATGAACTGATAGCCTAGTGCTAGGATTTGGTGGGGGGAAAGGGGTGTTTGGGGTAATTCCACTTCTCAAAAGCGGTTTCAAAGCATTTCAAATAGTTTTGCACCTGAAACTTGGCATCTTAGAGAAACACTCTCTTTGTTCAGAGAAGGCATCTCGATGTGGGTGTGAGGGCATGAAACCCCGCTGGCTTGTTCTTCCACCCGTCCTCCCGCTCGGCCACACTGTGCTTTATTATTGCTATTTGCTGATTTCCAGTGGTTTGGGGCAGGTTTCACAGTGTTCAGCTTGGCAGCTGTAGGACACGTCTCTGTTTGAGAACACACAAGCATGCATTTGACTGTTCCTCTGCGCCTGATGGCGGGGAGCACCTTGTATTGTACCAGTGGCTCTGGTGCAATTTCACTGGTTTGCAACCATCTTCCATGGTTGTAACCATCTTCCTGACCTGTGGCAAGCTCCTCCTGGGGACTTCCCCCAGTCCCACCTATCTGTCAGGCTGGCAGAGTAGCAGTGCTGGTCATACCGCAGCCTACGGTCACTATAGCCTGGAGTGGAGGCTGCTCTTGGCCTCTGTCTATGGCTCCCATACATCTAATACTGCATGTGCAGTTAGTTAATTGCTGTCCTGCTGTGCTAGAAATGGCTGAGCTTTAGTGGGCTGTTCCTATGTCACTGCTTTGGGATTCCTCCTAGAAGAGCAGGGTGCAAGGCATAGTGACAGGCCACACTGAAGTACCACTTTATTTTCACATTAGATGGATGGAGTTTCATTGAAATGGAAATATACCTCAGAGACACAATGCTGCAGAAGTAAAATAGGTAATTTTCTTCGGATTTTTATAACAAGAAACACAAGTGGCAGAGCCTTTGCTTAGTGCCAGTGGATGTACAGCAATTAGAACAACCCCAGTGCTACAGTCCCACTTGGCTTGCTTGGTACACCCAGGCTTGCTTGCTGTATGACAGAGAAAAAGCCTGGCCAGCTCTTAAGCCAGTCCCAGCCCCTGCAAAACCCTTGGATCATCTCTTCCTGAAAGCTCAGGCATGGGACTAGGCTAACCCAGGGTCAGAGGAGTTTGACAGGGGGCTGGCACCATCATTTCACATCTTGGTGCTGCCTTTCCTAATTCCAGTACCCTTGCACACAGCTTCTAGGTTTCCCTATCCCATGAATGACATGAGAACAAGCTGAAGCAAACATCCTGCAGGGATAAACTGAGGTGACACCTTCTTTCTTCAAGTCAGTGCCCACTATCTCTTCTCCTTTTCCTCCTCCTCAACATGCACATACACGTTTGCACACGCACTGAAGTGTTTTGTGGGTGTGCAAAAGTTCATGCAAACATTTGTTCTTGTGGCTTTCAGATCTGCAAGGTGACCGTACGTGTATTTTTCTTTGTGAGAAGCCTTTTGTGCCTCCGCCACAAGCCAGGACGAACCTTATCCCGTAACTTGCAGAAACCTCTAGAGTGTTGTGTTAAAAAGCACAGGCGTATGTGGCATCAGATGTGTGCTGCCGTGCAGAGCCTTCCTGAAGCCTGCAGTGAGTTCTGATCTCGGTAAGTTAGGAGTCACAAAGGAGCTGTTTCAAACAGCTGAAGCTAAGCGGCCATTGGACAGATGTGTCTTCAGGACTTGTGACACAAAACAGGTTCCCACTGGTGGTCAAGAAAAGCAATTCAAATAGGTTCAGATTTTGATGGGAGACTCTTCACCCCCTGTGAAATAGTCAACTTCCAGTTTGGCAGTCACGTCCCCTCCAAAGTCCCTGTGTTTGAAAAGTAGCCTTAAGAAAACCAGCCTACAACCTGATGGGAACAGACTGGGAAGAAAAAGCAGGCTGTGACAGTGGAAGCCTGAGCAATATTCACAAGGAGACAGTTCTGAAATGGGCTGCTCTAGGGCTACCTGCTGAATCCATAGTCCATATGGTGTGGCCTTCCTCCAGGTCACACAAGAGCATGTATGTGCCTCACGCTACATGTTGGAACTGTTAAAACCCAGCCACTTAAACCAGAACCGCATTTCGGGTGTACTTTTCCAAGTAAGAAGTACAAAACTGAATGGCAAAGGAGCCAGAGCAGCTGTGTAATACGTGTTTTCTCACCCACAAAAGTGTCAGCAGCCTACAGCAGCTGTTGGGAGGCACCCAAGCAGCATGTAAAGGACGGACATAATGTACGAGGTTGTTATTCGAAGTCTGGTAGTGTTGGTGAATGATGCAGGCTATCTTGGGAAAGGCTTCTGTTATATAGGTTTGTATTAGAAAAACGGGCCATTGTTGGTAGCTCCAGAAAACTGAAACAGTGCCTGTGGCAACAGTGAGTTCAAAGAGAAAGGAAAATGCAAGTGATTTGCTCCCTGCAAAAGGGGAAACTGAGTAGTGCTACTTGGGGACATGTGTGCTACTGTGATTCTGGACTGATAAGACCTGGGTCTTGAAGGAACTCTGAGTTTCTTGCTTTTTCAACCTTCTTGAGTCTCTAGGATTCCTTTGAGCTCGGACTCAAACCACTCAGGTCTTCCTATGTAAACTGGTATCATTACCAAGTTCAGAACTAGCCTGCTGTTCCTTTCCAGATGCCAAACAGGACAGAAAACAGAGGCTGTTCAGACCTCTCACTCTGATTCTCTTACCTCTGCTTGAGCAAATCCTCCACATCTTTGCACATCTTCCTCCCATCCAACAGCCGCTGTACAAGCACCTCGTAGCCAGTGTGGAGGGTGAACTCCCTGCACTAAGACAGAAAGATAAAGAGTTGAGCTTATTTGTGCACTAAGTTTGCAGGTTTACCAGACACCTACTGTCAGTCATATGGAGCAAATTGGAAAATCCCAATGGATTTAGGTTTGCCCAGAGCAGTGGTCACCGGGACAGGGCTAAGGGCACAGGCAGGGATAAGATTCCTCCAAAGTGAAAATCTGTAAAAGTTTCTATTAAACCAAGTTTGGTTTTTAATACTGAAAAAGTGAAGTGGGTTGCACATTTTGTTGTGTGGAAAGCAGCACTTGCTGTCTTTTTGGGGAAGTCACGGGTAGCTTTGGGGGGGTGTTCTTCGCAGGGCAGAGATGTTTTCGTAGCTCTTAAGGGTAACAACAGCTCCTCTTATCATATGTTTTCTAAAACAAATGGTCAGAGTCAGCTCAGTGGCACAGGACTCTCAGCAAGACAGTGACCTGCTGTAGAGGTGCAAGTGGAGAAGAGAAGGATGGACACTGATCCACAGGGCAGTGGCACAGCCACCCTGTTACTGGTGGGGGTTTTAATGGGAGGATGCGAGAAAGTAGGCATGTCGAGAGCTTAGGAATGTGGATGTGGGATCTGCAGGAGATTGGAAGTGTGTACTTCTGAGATGCTTGCCCATGAGTGCTGCTTCCCTTGCTTTGGCATTCACCACCCCATCTCCTTGCTTGTCCTTTTGGGTCCTTTTGCAGCCTGTCCTGTTCTGTGACCCCACCCCACATGGCAACTGGAGCCAGCCAAGGTGATCCGTGGTTTCCAGCCAGTCCACACCAGACAGGCAAGGTTATGGGGCTGGGAGGTGTTTGCTGCCCCAAAGCCAGGGCTCTTATCTCTTTCTAGGGCCCCATTCCTCTGCTGTGCTCTAGGACTGCAGTCCCTCCCCATCACACTAGTTCATGCATCAGGCTTGTCCCTGTCCATGTGATCTATCAGAGCACACCCCAGTGCATCTCAGACAAAAACATCTGAGTAATGAGAAGAAAAACAATTAGTCTTGTACTTCCTTTGTCATTTTCCCAACTTCCAGATTGCGCTGCAGCAATGGTAACTCAGAGTCACAGCACAGCCAGTGCTGCTGAGGAAATAGTGGGAACCCACCCAGAATGGGAAGGGAGTAAAGTTGCGACATGCTCCGAGTGTGGCACTGGGAGAGGATTTCTGTGTTCTGCTCCTGGTCCTCCCACTGACTCACAACAGGATTAGGACAAGCCATTTTTACTTTGAGAGCCCCACTTTAGTAGTATATAGTGATGATGTTACTGGAAACGTAGTGAGGAATGTTATCTGGGCTTTATGTTAGAGCATTATGGTAAAATCATGGACTGTGTAACCATAAAGAGAATGAGTATGTTCCTTCCCTCAAGCAGTTTATGTACAATATAAGTGCTTATATATGAACTGAACACAGTTTATACATCCATCCACTGTCCCCTAAGCAGTTATCGTTTAATAAATGCGCTAGTTTATTGCTTCCCACCATGACTGTGAAGAAAAGAGCTGTTTGAGTTTTGGGACTTGGGACGGATCCTCTGTCAAGCAGCGGTTGGACACTTTTGCTTGTGGCTTTGCTTCCTTATTGCTGGGACTAAGAGGAATCAGTCAAGCTCTGGGGATGAATGGTAGCGGCTGATGGCAGCCTTTGGTGCTGTTCACCCAGGCCCTAGGGCTTCTGTGGAGATTTGCAGCCCTGGGCTGCTTCAAGAGGCAGGATCCATTTCTGCAGAACATCTTTGCAGACCTGCAGGTTGTAGTAACATTGCCAGTGCTACCGTTCTTGCAAGCAGTAATTCCTGCGTCCCTAATGGACACTCTTATCACAAGCAGGGGGAGAAAGGAAAGACAGTAGGATAATGGCCCACAAGAGACATAGACAAATGCCTCTACCAGCAAAGTGTCTGCGCTGCAGAGCCAGACAAGATAATAATGTAGATAAAAGTATACAGAAACAGTGCAATGGATCCACTGTTACCACTGTTGCCAATGCAGGAAAATAATAGGATGACATATGCTCATCTGATGCATATGATCACCCTTTAAGAAACAGGATCTCAAAACCAGAACATCAGTTTTCCTAATGTTTCCAAGGGCAGGTTACACACACATCCCAGGGAGAGATCTTGCTGTGAAATAAAGGAGAAGAAGCAAGGGTTTGCCATCCATAGAGCAAAGCAGGAAAGGTTCTTGATAATATCTTGGCAATGGGCATGTCAGTTCCCCCCTCTCCCTTTTTCTTTCTTTAAGGGCATCCCAATGGCCAAAGGCATTGCTGCTGTAAAACACCCTCACAGATTGCTTTCTCTGCCTGGCAGAAACCACTCTGATCACATTCTCCACAACAATCTCACAGCCCAAACATTTGGTTGGTGTATTTCCAGCTGCAATTCACTACATCCCATAGCTGTGCACACAGCTTCCTTGTCCCAGAAATGCTTCCCAGAGGTAAGTGAAATATCATATGGGCTTGTGTGACCCCAGCAGTCAGGCACACTGCCACGAGCAACAGCCGAGAGTATGAGCACGCTGTAACGTTACTCTGCCATTTCTGTTCAACATCTCTGTTTAGTAAATGCTAAAACTCACTTGCAGCACACCTGAATTAAAGGATCCTTTGTAAGCTGTGCTGCCCTGGGTAGCACAGTAGTGCAGTCTTCTTGGAGCTCTGCAAACAGGCTTGCCTCCAGGACGTGCGCTGGCACTAGTGCCAAGGGAACAGGTTACTGCTGCTCCCCACTGCCCACAACAGATTCTCTGCTCCATCTTTTTGCCTTCCTACTTCCTTACTTCAATGAATTTAGAAATGAAAAAGCCAGATTTTACTTATGATAACTATAGGAATATTTTAGTCCTTTAATGTACACAGAAAGATAACTTGGTTGAATGTGAAATCTGTAATAGCACTTGCTCATTCCTAGATCACAGGCTTTCTACCAAGTAGGGGATGGGAGTAGTGTTCCCACTGTTCATTCTGTGCCCTTGTGTGCACGTATGTATGCCAAGTGCAAACAGGCATTGTCTTACTCAACAGTTTTGCTTTGCCTGTTGCCTGCTAACATGAGTAAGACTTGAACTTGTTAAAAAGGGAGCCACTGCAGCTGCATCTAAAGGAGAGCTGAAATCTCCTCTTAGGAGGCATCAGTCCCTGCTTGTGAGATTCATCTGGGTTTTGTCTCTATGGCTGATCCCTGTAAAGGGATTTGGCTCTAGACAGGTCTTAAAAGGACTTTGTACCCATTTACTCTTTCTTTGGTTTGGGGGGATCCATCTCAAATTTGCTTTATTGTCCTCATCCTGTGTTCCTGAAGAATATGTAAGCCCTCTCTCAGAAACCACAGCATCTGCACACTAAACCAGGACTGCCTCAGCCTCCCAAGCAGCAGATCTGCCTGTGGTCTCACTAGCATATGCAACTGGCACCTCGCAGGGTACAGCAAGGAGGGAAACACAGACAGCTGACAGCCCCAGGGTTAGATAAGTTTAAGCTGCCATGGTCACTCACCCTGCAACATTGCTGCTTAATTCCCAACCACAACGCAGCCATAAATCACCGAGGGTTCAGTTTACTTACACAAGTATTTCCCTTTTATTGCAACAGGTTTTTTTGTTCTTTTTCCATGTGTTGTACATCTACATCCTCTCTCAACCTCTCCTTGAATCCAAACTAACCTCCTTTGCCCTTTCCTGAGATACTGGTTCTTGATTCCCTTGTGTTCTTATAGTACCTGTTCAAGGCTGAATAAGTCCCTGCTGGACAAGGATGATATTCTGTTCCAGAGAAGGCTAACTGATGCTTCATACCATGGCATTAGCATCTGCTGCCTAAAAAACGCTTCTGGTCCATCAGAGGATTGTATTTGCCTTCTTCCACTATCAAATCATACCTAACTGAGCTATGATCTATTGATGTACCTCAATTTTCTCCTCTCCTGCAATTTTACTTGCTGAGGTCCCACAAGGTATTGGACCTTTTTGCTACTGATTCTTACTCTCACTTTGTACTGAGAAACTTGAATTTTATCCGCTTTCTGTTACCCCAGGCTTGAAGGTTATCAGCAACCTCCTGTACAATATTTCATCCTACCTATTTGTTTCAACAACAGCTATTTCCAGCCCATTCTTTCTGTCTTATGCCAGTACATCCAATGAATATATTGAATGAAATTAACCCTGAGACCACCTCTCAAGATCCCTTCCTCCAGCTCAGGCATTTCCATTCCAGCACAAACCACCAGTGTCTCATCCATAATAGTGTCTGTTCTGCTGTGTCTGTTAGTCCTGTTTTGTTATTCTTCTCTAGTTCCTTAAGGATTTCCTGTATGGCACCATAACAGACACATATTTTCTTTGTCAGGACAATCAAGACAGCAAGACTGTATCACACTGAACAGCGATCTACCCTTGCTAAGCTGTCTTGCCTTTATTCTGTTTTCCATTTACCATTAGGCTGTTAAAACTGCCTTCTTGGACACCTCTCAGCTGGGACTTCATGGTGATTGGAACTAATGAGTACTATTTTTTTTATTAGACATTAGAAAAATGCTTTAGTTAGGTAATAAATATATTCATTAAATGTGTAAACATCATTTGCTTACAGCAAAAACAAGGTAGTTGCTTGGAAGGAGGTGATTTGAATCACCACCACTCATTCGTTTCATTGCCAAGAAAGTGATCCTGCTTAGTCAAAGCGTGTGCGGTTGTGAAAGAGGATTTACTCATTGTTATTTGAATAAAAAAGATTAGTTCATCTGCATTGTCCAACAGACCTATGATCACTTGTAAGCAAGCGCTTGACAAAGGGATTTCAGTGTTACAGGCAGATTTGTATTGTCCTGAGGTTCTTTCATGGGGAAAATCACGGCTAATGCAGAGGCAGCATCTCTTCTCCTCATTTATGAAGGTTGCTTCCCTTGTGTGCAATAAGCAACACTGCTCCTCCAGAGATGAAAGGAATGTGAAAGGGAGTATATGACTGAAACCCACAAATGTTATGCTCTAGCT